CCTCCGGGGCAGGCGGGAATCGAACTCATGAGGAAGCGGCTTTAGATTCTCAGTGCTGTGCTTTAACCCGCTGCGCCACCAGGGAGGGCCTTAGGGCTTATTTTTATAGTTAAATTTCACCACTTGGATTACTCTCACGTCTTTGTTTCAGTGCTTATATGTGCTACTTTCCCACAGGCTTCATGTGGAATTTATTATGATTATTGGTGTCCTAATTCAAAAGGGATAGTAGATATAAATTGAGATTACACCATGAAGTTAGTAAATGTGAACACCTTATAGGATTATGGCTATGGAGCCATGTTTGAGCTGTATAAGGAAAGAGAGAGTCACGATTCTAATTGCCCTTCTCTTTGAGTTAATTTTTGTTGGTGCTGCTCAGAAGTCAGAGACTCTTTAAGCTTTTTTTCCCCCTCCCAGAACTTTTAATCCAGCTGATTATGCAGAGCCAGCCAGTACTGATGATAACTATGGCAATAGTAGTGGTAATACGTGGAACAACACTGGCCACTTCGAACCAGATGATGGGACGAGTGAGTGACTTTTATTATTTGTTTCTTGTCTCTGGGAACCTAAGGGGAATTTTTGTAGATTATATAATTACTTAAAAGAAGTGGAGTAGTTTTTGGGTGTAGAAATAGGGTGAGAAAGGGATGTTTATTGAATTACTCTATTCATTTACTGTAAACCTTTGAGTACATTATATATTGGCACCTGGTCTTCTTGCTGTTTTGTGAAATAGATTCTTATCATAGTTTTCCATTTGATAGTTTAAGGCTGAAAGAGATTATGAAATTTGCTTGTATTTGAACTCAGAATTGTTTGGCTCTAAAAATTTTTCCCATGTGTTTGACTACCATTTGCTCTAATTTCCTAATGTTCCTTTTAGGGTAGCTAGCTTTTCCTTTTGCAAAGATATCTAGAATTAGTCAAGTCACTATTTGTAGTGATGAATAGGGCCCAGAATTAAAAGTCTTCTGTCAATTTGTTTTCTGGTATCAAGGCATATCTTATCTTCATTTTGACTAGTCTCAAGACTTCTTCCCCTTTCATCTTCTGGATGGAGTAGAATATTAATGGAATTTGATTAAGATTGCTTTGTTAACTGTGTGCTTGTGTAGGGTGGATAAGGATATGTTAGCTAATGGAATATACCAAGGTGTATTCTGGAGTAAAGATACTTTTATTGCTTTAAATATGAGTACCCTCTGGACTTCAGAATATTTTTTTTGTTATGAGATCAGTTATTTCCTTCTGGCTGAGCTAAGTACATGGAGAGCCTGAGACTTCTTTTAAACATGGGGTCAGGGGGAGAAGGGAATGATTTAATAATAGAAGGTAAAATAAGCTCTGTGACTTCTCTGATTTAAATTAGCCTTGCCCACTTTCAAAGATAAGGGATCTTTATCTCTGTCTTTAGGAAGATCTTTGACATAGCTTCTCTACTGCCCTCAAGATACCACACCTCCTTGAATGTTGCTTTACCAAGTACCTTCTAAACTCATATGAATATCGATTTTTCCATTGTTTTTGAGGCTACTGTTGAGACATTGGCAAGATGTCTTTAAATTTCCTGACCATTTAGCTACGAAATGACCTCCTTTTATAGTTTGACTCATTATACTTTGGAGACATTAGAACTGTTCATCTCTTGGTGACTTTGTAGAAGCAGTGGGAGCAGTTGAATAGCAAAACTTCAATGTTTTTGATTTCTAGTTTTGGGTATTTGATTTTATTTTTACCACTGGCCAAAAAGATAGAAGTCAGGGCATTTGTTTTCAGATATGGATAGGAAACCAGGCATAGGTTTCCAGCCCTAGATGCAAGTCTTAGCTATTTTCAGCAAGGATCTGGTTGGAAAAATAGAACGGGGTAAAGTTTGTATTTACTTCTGCTGAAAAGAGAATAGCAGAATTAGGAGGCTAGAATCAGAAATCTTGATTTATGGCTGAATGAAATTATCTGTTGCTATTGTCATCTTGTTAGAATTGGGTGTAGCTTCATACATTCCCATCATTGTTAATGTTAAGTATGAACTTAACTTTGTGCATGGTCTCTCTTTGTGTTTTCATAATAGAAAGCTTTAAATTCCCTTTTTGATTTAAAAATAAATTTAAATCTACCCTTAAAAATATCCACAGGTACAGTGGGACTTATGTATTGGGGGCAAGCATTCTCATTTACAAGCAAAATTTCACTGGTTGTTTTTTCTTTTCTTTTCTTTTTGTTTCAGGACTTGATTTCATTGGGGTTGAGGGGTCAAATTATCCCCGAAAATTTGAGACTGCTCCTGGTATGATACATCCAGGCGTCTAACTGCCCCGGATATTTTTATAGATTTTTATGAACTGAAATATCTGTGGATATGTCACTTTTCTGTCTTGCTTTTTCACTTTCTGCCTTTTGCTCATAGTCTCTGCCCATTTTTCCTTCAAAAATTTGTTCACTTAATATTTAACAATTAGAATGCTGTTGGAATAGAAATCCTAACCTGCTTATTAGATCATTTCTACTCTTCATGTTCCTTAGTGCTTCCTCAGTATAGTTTTGTTTCTCAGCCACGACTTTAAAATACATCTATAGAAAGTTTCAAGTAGATATCTTCCTTCATCCCGGGGCAGTGCCAAGAATGCAGAAAAAAGTCCTGCATCATGAGAGGTTAGATTAAATAACTCCTTTCAACTCTGGGATTGTATGTATGTGTTAACCCAGATTTTGGGTTTCACTTAACCAGAGTGGAATTGATGTCTAAGGGGAGGAAGAGTGGTATAACCGTAAGAGGAGGAAAGAATGTACTTTATAACATATCTGGCCTGAGATTGGACTTTAGTGTGATTTGGAGAGAATTTATTAAGTGATTTGGAATTTTCCTGGTGCAGTTAAACATAGTCCTGGGAAAGTCATTATAAGAATACGTTTTTCCCCTAGAAAATAAGATTTTAGCATTTAGAAGAGTTATAGATGGATTTTGTGAGGAGTTTGAAGATTTCTCTTTAATGACAAAATCTGTAAATACTAGATTACCATTTTGTGAAAGCTGCCTCCATTTGAAGAGAATGCTTTGAATGAGAAAAGGGGTGTTCTTATCTCTTCCACAGATAGGTTTTTGATTTTTACTGTGGTTCTTTGGTTGAAAGTCACAACACTGGGTCTCATAGAAACTCACCCATATAATCCTTTACAAAAAAGTAAGTTCCCTTTCTGAGGATATCTGTACATAAAGCAAAACAAGGGGAATGTGGAAGGTGGTTTTATTGTTTATGGATTTCTCCTGTAGAAACTACCTTAATTTCATTATTATTGGCATGAGGGAGCAAACACATCTCCATTGTCTGTGCCATGACCTTGGCAGTCAGACTTCACATTCCGTGTGATTAGAGTTAGGACAGTAGCGTGTGTATTTGTTTTTTTCTTTCTTTCTTTATCTCCACACCCCCCCCAAGGATTTTATTTTTGTGTAGAAGACATAGGGTATGAGCCAGACATGCAGGTGGTGAGAGGATTCACTTGACAAAGTGGGGAATAGACCAGGCAGATTTACTGAAATACACTGCTGAGGGGAGGATTGGGCAAGACAGGAGAGGTCTGTTGTATCATGTGTGGCAGCTTCCTGGCCAGGTGTTGAACTTGGGCCATTTTCGTGGGCCTTTGTGGTGGTAGTGCTGAGACTTAACATTAGGTTACCAGAGGACCTTCATTTGATTCTCAAGTTTCATTTAGTATTTTCTGAAAAGAGCAGATCCATAAGGGTTCATGAGTGTATGTGTTTAAGTTTAGTTTCAGTAGCAGTCAGCAGTGCCTTCAGTTTGCATTTCAAGCCTTTTCTTCCTTCATTGCCTTTTCACTATCATGTAGCAAGCATTTGTGTTCATATTATCATTGCACTCTTTCTTCAGACTACCTGCCATGTTGTCTTATACCAGATAAGTAAGTGTGGTTTGCATGTTTGAATTGACTGCTGCCATTGTACTTAATTGGCTACTAAGTCTGAGGGCTGAGGGCATTAAATAAATTGCCTAGAATATTTGGTTTGTTGGGTTCTTACTTTTGAGTTTTTTCACTCTGTCCTTTGCTGTTTGAGCTGTGTAACAAAACTGAAAGTTTCTGTGAAATCATAATCTTATTAAAACCTGGTGCTCTGAGGTAGCCCTTGCTAAGTAATTTCTTCCTTCTGCTGACAACCAAGAATCTCTTCTGATTACTAAATTCTGGTCATACTTTTGGCTGCCAAAGTGTTAATACCTGTGTTTTCTGCACATACTGTGTGCTGGACCTTAAAATTACTTCACCAATGTTCCTTTATTACCAGGTGCATGGAGGACTGCAACAGAGGAGTGGGGAACTGAAGATTGGAATGAAGATGTAGGTATTCCTAGGTTATTCCTTATTCGTACCTTCTATCCCTAAGTGGTGTTTAGGGATAGAAAATGGATATGTTTCTACCCTTCAAAATTCACCCTTAAGATTCTGACCCAAAACTTTTACATCCAAAATAGTGTTCTGAGCCAGAACATTTCACATATGTTATATGAAGGAGACTGGGCATGAACAGGACTCTGTGGAACCAGACTATGGAAAGGGCAAGTGCACTTGTGTAAGTTCAATATCTGATTGTCGGATTTATTCCAGAAAAGAGATGGTGGTTGGGTAGGACACCAGAAATGGAACCAGACAGGTAGTGCCTTGATAACAGTTGCTGCTGGAACATGACTTTATTTACTCAGAGCAATTCTGTTCTTTGATTCACATTTGGACATTTGTGTGTGGTCCTGTATTGGCTTGGAGGTGGGTACAAAGTAGAAGTGAGAGTACCAAATCCTCCGGTTTAAAATCTTGGTTGGCTCTAGAACCTTTTTGTTTATTCAAAGCCCAACTTTGTAACTGTAATACAGGAGAAGAATATGTAGACTTGGCTATTCAGCTTGACTCAACTTGGGAGCATGAAAGATAGGTGGCACTTAAATAGGCTCTGTGAGTTCACTGGAGTAATACCTGAGTAAAAGAAATAAGTTGATCTCTGGTCAACTCAATCTTTGCTGTGAATTAAGGTTTTTAGTGATCATGAAGGAATGCCAACTTTAACATTTCAAAATTTATTTTCCTATATGTATATAGGAAAACAAGATCACTTTCATGGTAAAAGGTGGTAATACCTCAAATTGTTTTGGTTGCCAGGCCTGGAGTTTTTAAATTGCACATGCATCAGAGGCTAATTATTTTCTATTGTAGTTGTGCTGGGCTGCCTTACGAATATTTTTTAAAATTTAGCTTTCTGCTTGAGGAACTGATTTCAGAGAATGACATATAGAGGGAAGAGTGGATTCCCTAAGACGAAAAGTAAAAACAAATCAAATTTTTGAAGAGTAGGAAGTTATTCCCTACAACTGCTTTATTTTGTTGTTTTAAAGTAGAGAGATTAGATGTAATAAAGCCAGTATTAAGGTAGAAGTTGCAAATAGTTTAACTTATCCGTGAAAAGATCTCAGCTTACCAGTGCCTTGGACTTTTTCTATTCAAAAGCCAAGAATTAACTTGTTTTTGTTTTCATCTGGGCTATCATCTTTCTTTGACAGGAGTAATGAAAGATGAAGTATGGTGTTTAGGTTGGGGGTGGGGGGAGATTTAGGAACTAAAATAGGAATATATAAAGGGGTTTTCTCTGGCTTATACATTAGTTTTTTTTGTAAGGTCAGTGTGCATATGATGTGACTCCACTGTATATTACTGGCTCCTTGATTCTCCTATCTCTTGAGAAAACCATGAGCATATCATAGGACTTGAACGTCTCACGTCTTCATGATTTCTCAGGGTAGATCTCTCTTCTAAGGGCTTTACATTTTTCTTGATGTTGAATCCACCTTACCTATGTCAGCTTTGTGATTGTAACTTATCTAACACCAGGAGTGACTGATTATTCTGTTTTCCAGCTTTCTGAGACCAAGATCTTCACTGCCTCTAATGTGTCTTCAGTGCCTCTGCCTGCAGAGAATGTGACAATCACTGCTGGTCAGAGGCAAGTGTGTGGTAAAATTCAGTATATTTTTCCAGTGGGTTCTGCTGAGATAGTTGTTGGGAAGACTGGCATTAGGGCTTCAGAAACTTTTACAGTGTTGGTAATAATTGATAACTAAGTCACATTTGCATTCTTCTTTAGTTAATTGATAGATTTATGAGTACTGAATAGAAATCTAGTTATTACCATTTAAAAGTGATTTTCCCCTACATATCATATTAATTACAAAGGTTAGCCTGTTGGCATCACTGGTATTAAGCTATAACACAACTGAAGTTGTGGTAAATCAGGCCAAAAAAATCTACAAGTGGAAGTGTTTTTACTTATTTTTGAGTTTGTAGAATTGTTCAACAGTTTATTCACTTATTTTATGATAATGGTCTTTGTCTGCAGAACCAATGTGTATATTGCTACTTTTTATCCCTTGGATCATTGGGATAAACTTGAACCTTGATGTTGTGGTTAGTGGAGGGAGATATACTCATTAGGGAATATTTTTGTTCCCTGCAAGTTTCTAGACTTGGATATGACAACTGCTAACTCAGAAGGACCAAAAGAAAAGTGTGATAGTAATAGGATATTTGAGGTGTCATTATCAGAGGTAATGGGTTTTCTCTTTTTTTCCTTCTGACATAGCATATGTATCATTTTTCCACACCAGTTTGGCAGTTCTGTGACACCAACTAGGTGTTAAACAATTCAATGCAGGTCTGACACTGACTAGCCAGAGTTAGTGCATACCCATGTTGATAGCTCTGTTCCACAAGACTGACCCCACATGAGAGGTCGCCTGCAAATGGGTACCCTGGTTACCAATACACTTCTGACCAGTTGACTACAAGTTTGAGTGTTCTCATAGCTTTCTCCAGGTTTTCAGTACTTTGCTAGAGCTATTCATAGAACTCAAAAAAGTTTGAATTGCTACATTGGTTTATTGTGATTGGCTTTCAGGAACAGTCATGTAAAAGATGCATAGGACAGGATTATTTGAATCTTTTTATAAAAGTGTGTGGGATGAGTCATAGAGCTTCCATGCTCTCTCTGGACATGTTGCCCGCCTAACAGATAGCTCATTAACTTGGAAGCCCACTGAATCCATTGTCAAAGAGTTTTTGTCAGCGCTCCATTATGTAGTCATGGTTTCATTAAATCATTTGTCATTGAGCTCAGTCTCCTGCTCCACTCTCTAGAAATAGAAATGGAGCTGAAGTTCTAGTTCTTGGGTTTCTCAATGCAGTGTTTTGAGTTACTGACTCCAATCTGAGTAGCCTCATTAGCACAAGCCATGATTAAAAGGGGCTGCGTATGTATTTATTTCTGCCCCTTCAACACTCTCCCTTAAATCACCTTAAACCTTTCTTCCTTCTTGCCTCCATCTTAATCTTAGTTATTTTATTAATGTTTTAGTTTTTGTATTTTATTTTTTAAATTTTCCACTATGCAAGTGTCCATTATTAATCTTTGTAATTTTGACTTGCTTTACTACACATAATTTTTTACTACACATAATTTCTTTCAAACTCTTTCCTTCTATTTTGCTGTAAATGGCAGCTTTTTGTCTTTATGATGTAGTGATATCACATAGTAAATGTATATTTGTTCTTTGTCAGTGAGCATGTGTATTTTCATGTCCTAGCTGTTGTAAGTAGTGCTGCAGTAAATATTGTAGGGCAGATAGTTTTTTGATGAGTGGTTTTAATGTTCTGTGGGTCATACGGTATTTTTAGTATTTTTTTTAAAAAGATAAATTTATTTATGCATACAGAACTGGAGTACAAGCCAGAAGTACAGGGGCAGTGGCCATGTGGATCATCTTGCAGGCTGGGGGTTGAACTCGTGGTGCAATGGCTGCAGATAGCTTCATAGTGCTGTGCTTTAATAGTGGCACCACCAAGGGAGGGCCCTGGCATTTACTTTTTCATAAGGCATTAGAGAGTGATCCAACTTCATTTTTTCATGTGTGACCTTCCAGCTTTCCCAGCACCATTTATTATAAGAGGCATTTTTCCCCCATTGTATGATGGTGGCAGCTTTCACAAGTAGATACTAATATGTATGCGGATTTATTTATGATTTATTTATTTATGCATACTAGAACTGGGGTGTAGGCAAGAGGATTCACCAAAGACCGAGTAGGGAGCAGAACAGGAGGATCAACTGAAATACACTGCTATGGGAGCAGTGGATGAGACAGGAGCAGTCTGCTTCACCATGTAGCGCAGCTCCCTCCCTAGGGATAGAACCCATGCCACAGTGGCTGGTGATAGCTTGATAGTGCTGTGTCTTTAACCCCTGTGCCACCAGGGAGGCCCTATATTTTGGTTTGTTTTGGGGCTTTCTGTTTTGTTCCATTGATCCATGTGCCTGTGTAATTTTTTGTGCACTTTTTTTGGGGGGGGAACACAGGTAACTTGGATTTTATGAAGTGTTGGGGAAATTTTTCCAAATCCTTTGTTCCAAAGCTATTTGAGATGCCAGTTTTCAAGGATATAGCTTAGATATTTGTAATGACATGTATTCAATATAGAAATCATGAATTAAATTTTGGAAATCTGGGAAAATGTATCAAGTTATCATATTAATGCTACACTTACTATTAAATTCATTTTACCAAAATTTTTAATATTGTTAAGATTGGCAACATTGTTGGAATATAACTAGATAATATTGTGGCTGTTACGCATCAGTTATTTTGGTAAATCATTCAGAGCTTTGTGTTTCTGTGGGAGGAACTTCCTTTTGATCTAACCATAGTCTGAGTCAGATGCTGGGAAAAGTAGAATTATTCACTAAGATCTTGTATCTCTTCACTAGAATTGACCTTGCTGTTCTGTTGGGGAAGACACCATCTTCAATTGAGAATGATTCCTCTAATATGGATCCATCTCAGGCTCCTTCTCTTGCCCAGCCTCTGGTGTTCAGTAACTCAAAGCAGAGTACCATATCACAGCCTGCTTCAGGGAACACATTTTCTCATCATGGTATGGTAAGTGGGAAACATGGTGTATCCTACCCAAACTTTCCTGATGACTTTAGCGCAGATAAAAAGCAATTCCTTCTAGTGATGGTGAGAAGTTTGTAGCAGGATAAACCAACTGTCCTGTTTACACAATTTCAGTATCGAGCTAGATACTAGCGGATAGTTCTAATAGAGGACTTAGTTTTTGGCAGACTAAAACTTATAAAAATGAGTTAGCCATTCATTGAGTATCCATTTTTCCGAACATTATTTGCTATCACTTTTTTTTTTTTT